ATTGTAATAATAATTATTAGGGAGAAAGAAGCGGAATTATTCTTTTCCTTTTAAATTACCTTTAACTTTGCAAGGAAGTGCAGGTTGCTTTGTCATTATTCATTTTTATTTATAAATTTGTTGCACAGTCTTCGCATTTAGAATCGTTATCGATAATAAATCACGTAGTTAAAGCGAAAAGAACAGTTGCAGCTGTCACTTTAAATTTTATCACTTTCTTGCTGTAAATAAGTGCGTGATTTATTTACTAAGATTAAATGCTGGTTTGCAAGAAGTTACGTATTTCTTACGCAAGAGTATCTGACATTCGTAATTTTAAGAAAATTACTAACAACCTGACTTTCCTTTTCTGCTGATTTTCTAAAGGAAAAATGTCTCCCTGTTTTTTCCTTTCTATAATTTGAACTACATTTAAGTATTAATTTAGTTTTTTCATAATAATAATAAATTTATCATGCAGATTAAAAATTAAAAAAAAAATAATAACAAAAATAACATAAGTAAAAAACTTAGAAAGGACATCTGTTTGAGCTCAACTTTTAATGTTCATAATTTAAATTTCATCTCAGTCACCACATTTTCTCGTGAGCAATTTTAAACTTGTTCAATTAATGACTACTTTTCATATTGTATTAAATTGCTACTTAAATTGCTACTTAATATTGCTGTATTAAATTCAAACTCTATTCATTCGGTTTTAAAAAGAGGTTTTTTTTGCATTCATATCTTTGCATTAATAGAAATTAGAACACTACCAGAAATGAGATTCGATTTTAGAATTCACTGCATGAAATAAATACATCTCTGCAAATGTTTTGACTGATGAATATATTACAAAATTGTTAAGAGGCTTTGTCTTTAAAAAAGAATTTTCAACCTGGTTATAAATGTTCACTGAGACAATTTGCTTACATATTTTTTTTCTAAAGTTATGATATAACGTAGAGCGTGTTTTGCATGTTAAAGTTATAAGAATTTCTTGAAAGAATAAACTCTATTCCTCCGAATTACAATACATTAATAATTGATAACCATCACTTTAAACTAACATATTTTTAAAAAATCTATAATGTAATTTTTATATAAATATCAACAAAACATTTCCACTAACATAGTCCTAAGAAATTTATGGTACAGGAGGAACTCAACTCTTTTAAATATTACATTTATTAGGTACTATTTTTACAAATGAGTTTAGATTTTGAAAACTGAGAAAGCTAAGTCAATATTAAAAAAAGGTACGGACAATGCAAGCACTTATATCAGTGATATATAACAAAGGAGTTTACTCATTAACAAACTTCACAATTGTTAGACAGCAAAATGTGATAAAAAGATAAAGGCTTTTCATGTAGTTTTGATATCTTAAGCAGGATATATAAAAGTAGATTGATTTATAGTAAGCTGTAAACAAAGCATATTAGTCGTGATAAGCAGGCGGTTTGTCTTACGATTTTGGGGTTCAACTTCAAATAATAGATTTATTCCAGGATTAGGCATATTTTATATTTTTTCATAAAATACATTTTTGAAGGTTAAATACATTATACTAATTTGGAAAATTTATTAAGCATGTGTTTAAATTCTTTTAGTTTTTAGGCTCATTTTTAATAGTTTAAGACATAATATTTTTTTATGTATGCAATTTTACAGTAATTTGTTTTATTTATTTTAAGTCATTCACTATATTTCTTAAAAAACTTAACAAATTGAATCAAAATCATAGTAGAATTCCAATATGCTACATTTAAAAGTATTTAAAGCAAGAAATGTTACATTCAGTAATAATTTATAATTTTCTATTCAAGGTTTTAACATGTTTGCTGAGTAGATTTATATGCAAGTTTTCCTACAATATTTTAGGCAGTAAAAAGGGTATTCATTTAAAAATTAGATAATTACTATCAGTAGAATTTACCAGTAGAAAATTATAAAATTAACTAGATTTTTTATTGAAAGTGAAATGCATTGAAAAAGCTTTTAAATTTGTGAATAAATAATATCTAATACTTACTGTAAAAATTTGTGTACTTATCAAAATATTCATTATGATGCTATTCCCTTTTTAGGTGTTTTGATATTATTATTTATTTATTTGACAGTCATGTGGTGACTTTTAGTCATGGAGTTTAAACTGCATTAAATACACTAAGTAAAAAGGATTTGCTTTATATAAATATCTACAATATTGTGCTTAGTTATATTGAAGACTGTAAATAATGTGAAAATAATATATTAAAAAAAATAACGAGTTTAATTCACGAGAAAATGTTATTACTCAAAGCACAAATAAGTGGATGAAATTCCTTTCGTTTCCAGAAAGATAAAGGGATGTGCAATGAGAAGTGGAAATAAATTTATAAATTAAAAATAAATAGTTTTGATGTAGAATGTTTGAGTATCACTGTTGCTATTGACAAGTTTAAATACCAGCGATAAATTATTTCTACTTTTCAGACTAATTATTTATTTATTTTAAACTATAATTCTTTATTTTAAAGTATTCGTTGCCCTGTTCTAAAAACTGTATTAGGAAAACTATTTTATCACGTTTCAAATAATAATAATAATAAATAAAAAAATTAGAGCAGAACTTAGAAAATAGAGCACAGAAAGAAGATGGCATTAAATTAACAACATTTAACTACTTAGTTAGTTAATCAGTGCGGAAAAATTCACAGTATTTTTAAAAGAACTAAGAATTAAATGTTTTTAATGTTGCAATTTTAAAGATCATCACTTCGTCACATGATGAATTACCTATTTGTATCCCAGTTAACAAATAGGTAATAGGCTGACAGGAAAATTAAAAAAGTATGAATACTCTATAATTAGGAATTTGATTCTGAATATTACAAAACTTTAATGCAAAGAAGGAGATCTATAGCCGTGTTTAGGGCAACAAAAAAAAGTGTTCAGAACGCATGTTTTCTGCTCTCTCGAAATCAGGCATCAAGGTCTCTATTTCGGTGCCGGAAACTACATCGATTAATCGATAACCTCATCGGTTGTGGTAGTTCAATCCCTGTTACCCCTATCTCGGCACCCAAGTGGCTGTTACTAATAAACAAATCACTGGATCTCTCTCTCATCTCCATTTATGAAATTATGCTAAAATTCGTCTACCTGTCCCACATGCTAAGCTCAATTTTTCAATTTTCATAATGGTATTTTATGAAAACTTTAGTCCTTTTATTCTGCATTTTAAAGGAAAACTACCCACGTTTCTAAATACCTTAATACATATTCGAATTAAAAAACATTGATTACACTAAGTAGGACTAGAAAATAGTTCTCGATGCAATTTTTTTAGTTTCCACAGGGCAAAAAATTTTGGATCAAATTACGGTAAAAAGTACATGCTACTTTTTACAGTAAAGTTCGTTTTTACCAAAACATGCGACGAAATAAAAAAATCTGATTTATCGTAATTTTTACAGCAATAAATACAGTAGAATACCGAATCCCTTTAATTATATAAATATTACTGTAAAAATTACGATATAATATTTTAATATAGATTTTACGGATGATGCAATCAAGATGCCGGTACTTTTTACCGTAATTTGATTTTCTATTTTTGCAGTGTGGAAAGCAGTGAACTGTTAGGAAAAAAAAACAGCGTAAAAATAAAGTTATCGGAATTAAAGAATTTTTTTGTTATTTTTTAATTCGTGATTCTGATAATAAATATTTGTTTGTGATTTCGTTTATGTATGTGAGTATCATTTCCCTTTTGACAGATTGTTAAAATTAAAAAGCAAAAAACATGTGATTGGAGAACAAAACTTTAATAATCCATTCGAGTATTTTAAAGCGTGAATTTATGAAAAGCGAATACGGAGAAGCTTACTGAATTAATATTTCATGATTATCATTTCACACATATTAGATTAAATGTATGTTTGCTAAATTAATGTTTCTTAGTTCGTAAGATTTTGAATTGTGAATTAATTAAAATTCTTTAGAACTACTTTAGTAAAATATATAGATATGTATGCATTTAATTACATTTAGAATATTGAAGAAAACTTCTATGGATTTTCTGAAGTCATACATAGTATTTAATCGTTCGAATCACGTACATAATTTTTAGAGCGAGAATCATACTTTTAAATCTAACTTTTTGTTCGATAAATTTGATCTAAAAGCATTTGAACCATCGTAACATAAAATAATTCAAAGATTTATATAAAAGGTTTATACACTAATTATATAATTTATAACTTTATTAAGCGTTGACAAAACAAATAAAATTTTACTGACTTTAATACTAATTTTTGTAGAGCACTGTTAGCAGTCAGCAATTATTTTTTGCTAGCTGGTTATCATTTTTATTCATATTTACAAGTATTCCTTAAAAATTCTTTAAATACAGGCTACGGGGTTACGGAGTTGAACATTAGTAGTCGTAAACCCAAAAATTGGGTCGGCTGCTCAACGACAGAGGTAAAAAATAACAATAACAGTTATATAAAATATTAGTAATATAAAATTATAGTTATATAAAATAATAGTAAAATATAAAATATTATTTATACTACATATTTTATTCGAATGATACTATTTGCGCAGTAACTAGATTTTGCTTGCTTTTCAATTAATGCCTTGCTAATGAAATTTTTTTCCACTAAAAATCTTTTAACTAAAAATTTAGTTGTTTTTTAAAATTGCAAACTTCATTATCATAAAATATTTAGCTTATAGCAACTAATTTCTAGTATAAAAAAAACAGAATTGAAACATACTAGATATTTAAATATTTTTTTCCGAAACCATTTTATAAAAATACATATGAAACCATTGCTCCGATGCAGATTTATCATAATACATTAAATAAATTGATCCTCAAAGGATACTAATCGATAAGCCACTATAAGTGAATTTAATTTGTATAAAAATGACAGATATCGGAGTTTAACATAAAGCACCCCAAATCTATGCTTCATTTACTTCGCAACAGAAGATCGAAAATCATGATCAGAAATTTTGGCACTCACCCACACAATACTAACATCTTCTATTCAGAAATATTCCACATGCAAATTCTTTAAATGACAATCAATGTTTTCAGCATTATCTCTTCTACCGGTTATTTTTATAAAATCATGCAACGCATAATAAAATGCAAAATATGCGAACAAAAATTTTACCTAATCACCCTCACAACCATCCATGCTAGGGCGGATGGGGAGAATCGTGTACCTGCTCATCTCTTTGCGCAGATGAATTTCGGGATGCAGAGGGATGAAGGACTACTCTCAACACAGGGTTACAGGAAGGAGTTATCAACATCGCCAAGCGGACAGAGTGTCGCCAATAAGGGGTTATGCATACATAACGCTATCACATACTTTATGTGTGTAAAGGAGGTAGAAACTTCATAGTGTCTAAAAGGTGCCCTTTAAAATCCTCATTAGCTTATGGATGAGCTATTAAATATTTTTATAATTTAAAATTGAGAAAAATTACTTGTTTTGTTCGAATTCAGTATTTTTGGCGTGACTAATATGTTTTATTAATTTTTCGGACGTTAATTTCATGACATATACGAGTGATTTTATTTTCTCCAAAAGAGAAAATTCATTCATAGAAGGATAAATGCATTTTAATCTAGCATTTTTTTTTCTCATTATTTATAGTCATAGTACAATATCATTTTATGTTTTTAAGAACAAATACCCTCAATAATTTCAATGTGATTAATTTCCATTAATTTTAAATGAAAGTGTAATTAAATTTGCTACGCATGCACTGTAAAAAATGGATACTCGAATTTCACAAAACTTTCTTCGTTTTTGACGAAAAAGTTTCCTTGTATAGGCTCCAAATGAACATTTCGTCAAAGTGACGAATTTACAATCGTCACTTTTTCAATGAAATGAATTTTGTCAATAAAAAAATATCTCGTCAGTTTTCTTTTTCCAAAAAGAAAAAAAAAACTCGTAGTTCTTAATGTATTAAACTTTTCTAATAATCACTTTATCATGGGCACCATATAGCTGGGTCTATGTCACCTTAATACCACATTAAAGACAAATGAAACAGAGAGTGAAATTGCCCTACGTTCAAAGCGGGATTCGAACCCGGGATCTCCCGGTACGAGACTGATTCCTGGTCCACCTTACATCCGGGTGGCTTAAATCGTCACTTTATTTTCGTTCGTCTAGTCTTCATCCTAGTTTCACCAGCAATGTCCTACAATGCACTACAATGAAGTTTCGAGTTAATTTTTCTACAAGGAAATCATGGTGTTTTTACCAAAAACGTTATTCTGAATAATTTAAAAACCTGACTAGCCATTATAATGCTATGGGTATATTTGTTGTAACAAAATTACGTTGATAGTTGTTGTGGGTATATTTGTAGGGACTATACTTTTTATTTATACAATTATAAAGATGACAGGGGAAGCTTTGTAGAAATTTTTGGAATATTTGTTATAAATAGTAGAAATTAATAGAAATGATTTAAACTTGACTAATTGGTTGGCTTAAAACTTAATTTGCTAAGTAACTTATTATATTGATTCTTGAATTTCTGTTGTAAAAAAATAAACTACAAATTACGGAAAGGTACGATGACAAATAATTTTAAGTTACCTCCAAAACACTAAACACTGTAGATTAATCACGTGATATTGAAGAGATCTTCTAAAAATCAGGATCTTTTAACAAATTCATGCTATTTAAGCATAGTCCCTAACACGCTCAACGTCAATAAGCAATGGTATGGTCAATTTAAAAGGAAAGGATGTCATTTTTTTCACAGATCATGGTTGAATTTATCCAATTTAGTTCCTTTATTAGAAAAAAAATGGAATGTGTGAAATGATGGAGATAACGCATCCCACTCTTTGTGAAAGGCTTCATTCATATTTGACTGGAATGGAAATAGTGCCTATTGTTTAGCCTGTAATTTATAACTGTATTTTCAACTTATAATTGCACTAATTAAAGAACATTCTTGAAATTTTATATGAAGAAGAAAAGCTTAAAATTGAATTTACATTAGATGTACTTACATTTGATTTCAATTATGTGAGCACTAATTTTGATTAACTCTCTTTAAATATACGTACTTTTCTAAGTAAATTTAATCAAAATTCGGCATAATTTACGTTTAGGTATGAAGCAAAGTTATTATACAGAAGCAAGTTTGAATTTTGCAAATGTTGTAATGCATCCTATATTGGATTTTCAACATCGGAGCACTGATTTTTCTTATCTCTTCCTAAATATAAATACTTTCCTCGATAAACTTCATCTAAGTTTTACTAAGTTTTAAATATATGCTTATGTATTAAGATAAATTATTAGATTGAGAGGAAGATTCGAAAAAAGTTATAAAACTTACATTGGATTTTAATTATATGAACATCGATTTTAATTAACTCTTTTTAAATGTTCGTACTTTTCTAAGTAAAGTTTAAATAAAAATTTGGCATAATTTAAGCTTATGTATAAAACGTAGTTATTATACAGAAGCAAGTTTGAATTTTGAAAATGCTGTAACGCATCCCATAATGGATTTTCAACATCCGAGCACTGGTTTTTATAATCTGAAAATAAGTAAAAATAATTTCCTCGATGACTCGTTTTATAATAATATATGCTTTTGTTTAAGGATAATTTATAATATTGAGAAGAAAATTTAAAATAAAAGTTATAATTTAACTTACTTTGGATTTCATAATTTTCACTTAATTTAGATAAGTGGTTTTTATAGGTGGAAAACCTTAAAAAACTATTTAACAACTATAACTATTTAGCTACTATAACTATTCAACAACGATAACTATAACTTATAACTATAACTTATAACTATAACTTATAACTATAACTTATAACTATAATTATAACTCATAACTATATTAACTATAATTATAACTTAACTATATTAACTATAACTATAACTTGTAACTATATTAACTATAACTGTACTAACTATAACTTTATAACTATATTAACAACTTATTCAACTATTTTCCTATAGTTAATTTCTTATAAATTTGAATATTTTGCACGAATGGTAGTTTAATATTTAATTTAATCGTTATTTAAAACTCGCATCAAAGCTTAGGGGATTACCAAAAACTGAAGAAATGATTTGGTTAAATGCTCCATGAAGTTTTATTGCAAAAAATCTTTAGCTTGTTTATTTAATGAATTAAAACAAATAAAAATGATTTACTTTCTTTAAAATTCTTAAACAGGCCGTTAAAGTCAGCAGAATGGTTTCGTAAAGTATAAGCTGAGGTATCACATTTTGTTGAGTATATCTATCTGGTGATTGCGTTGACAGAACTACTATTTTCTCTTAAATGAACTTTCTAAAAAGAGCAAAGAGAAAAGAATTAAAAAAGCAGCAGTTGTGAAAAGCGATAAATGGCAGGGTGAGAAAAGCGGTAAACAGAAGAAAACTTGACGAAATGAAAGCTACAAGACACTACACATGATTTAAGTAAACTTCCAGGACAGAATACCATTTTCAAATGGAAGGGTAAACAACTGGAGACGGGAACACAAACATGTTTCTAAAAAAATCATCCTCATTTTCCTCAATCTTTTCCACAAACAGTCCCTTAGGTGGAAAAACTGACAGCTAAATTTTAAATAATGGCATAATTATAAATAAATTTTGTAAAATACTGAATTTACATTTGAATTTTTATTTTAAAAAAAACTGTCCGACAAATTAATACGAGTATCCTACATTAAAAATATCGTTAAAACAGTATTTGTTTTCACAATCTATATAGTCCTATTTTTAATTGATGACAAATTTTAAGCCTTGCAGGATTTCAATTTTATAGATTATTTATTTATCAATTTTATAGATTACTATAATATTAAAAAAACATTAAAATTAGTACTAGTATTAAAAATTAAAAAAATTAAAAAACTTTCAGTAGAAAAAATGCAAGGCAGTTCTTATCGTATAAATTAAAAAATATATATATTCAAATTGGAAAAGGTGAATTTTGTTATTTTTAATATAAAATAAAGAAAATGACGTTTTGCAATTTAATTAATAAGTAAGAAAAAAATAAAATAACACGTTATATTAATAAAAATATTAAGGTAATTGATTTTGTAACTTTTGCTTTAGTTCAGATAAAATGTTTGCTTCGGTTACAAATCAAATTGGCTAGGGCATATTATTTTTCAAAAATGGAATCAATAACTGCCCTAAAAATACAAAACTATTTAGAATAAAATATTTTTGAGAAATACGTGTTGAATATGTTGGGGCATAGAACAGCATACGTAGTAGCGTTTGTGCACGGAGCATATAAAGAATCTTGGAATTATGCATAAAAAAGTGTACATAAACTAAAACTTATTATATATATTTATTTCATTTTTTTCCTTCAAAATTTTATATTTTAGTGACTTTATAAAAAACATAAATCTATATATTATGTAATTAACCCTAAATACATGCAAGAACATTAGAAATTTCAACTCGTTAAAATTGAGCTAATAAAAAATGCTTTAAATTATTTGTTAAAGTTTTATTTATTGTTTAAAAAATATATTTGGTATATTAAAATTTTTTATCAGGATGAATGCTTTCTAATACAGCATTACGTGTTATTTACATTAAAGTAATGAAGGTAATCACTGAGAAAAAAAGTGTCAAAACTACTAGCGTATTGTCAAAACTACCAGAATACATTAATATTTGGAAATTTTTTCCATATTTCTGCTTTAATGGGAACACAGAAAAGTTTGGTAATTTTTACCGAAGTGTATTCGTAATGAATGAAACTAAAATAATTCCACTTTTTTTAGTTGTTATTATTTTTTGTCAATTCTGATGGCGGCTATACATTATTAGATTAAATAAAACATGTTTTAGTTGTTCATTTCATCAAAATAAAGATTGTATTGAGTATCATTTGGCATAATGTTGTTGGCACAATTTACCACAATCAAATTTTGCCACTATCAAGTGATCTTTATATTCAAGTCATTCATAACTGGCACTTATCCTTTTCCAGGGCAAGTAAAAAACCTTATTCCACTGAATCTATATTAAAACAGCACAGTTTTTATCTATTTTTAATATATACCAAAAGTACTAATGGTACCGATATTAGTATATTTTGTCATCGATTAATTTGTCCCAATAATCATAATATTGAAAGTGATTAATAATCAAAATTAAATAAGCAACACTGACTTCAATATTAGTATGGCGATTTTTTATGCTAACTCCAAAATGAATTGGTAAAATTTCTCTAATTTTACTTTTTTGT